GGCTGCCACACGGCCAGCCGGAGCGAAATGAATGAGCTGCAGTGTTTCAGCTACAGCCAGCCAGCAAGAGGGCTGGGGAGGAGGACCTTGGGCAGGCTCTGGGGGAGGGGGCGAGAGCACAGCTCCCTTCTGCAACCGGCCTGGCCAACAAGGGGCTCATTCAGAGACCCGGGGCCGAGGCCGGGGCGGCCTGGGAGCGTGTTAGCGAGCGGAGAGCGCCAGGCATGCGCGCGGCGGACTGCAGTGCGCACACCCGAGGGGGAGGGGGGCTGCAGCATCGCGCAGTGCGGGGAAACACGGGCTGATGCATGCAGCAATGGAGCTGGTGAGCGTAGACGCATCCCCCAACCCACCGAGAGGCGTCTTGCCTTCCTGGGCCTGCGCTGATGGGGCAGAGGGAAGTGGAAGGCCCTGGTGAACGCATCACCTGCGTGGGGTCCGAAAGGTTCAATGCTTCCCCGCATACCCCAAGGGTCACTTGAAGCAGCCAGGCAGCTCCTCAGCGCCTTCTCCTGCGCTCTGCGGCCTCTGCCACTCCTACAATCAACCCGTCATCACAGCCCCAGCCCGTGGGATGGGCCCCGTCTCTCTCGCACACAAGGGACGGGAGGCCCCAAGGGCGGGAGTATTGCACGGATGGTCACGCAGCAAGGGAGCAGCACGGCCCAGGACAGAGACTCAGGCCAGGAGCGGAGGCAAGGGTAGGGCAGAGAGAGGGAGCCGGCGAGGCTTGCCTATGGCCTGCTTTCGCTCCCAGGGCTATTCCAACTACAGAGGCAGCCTATGGGCAGGGGAACCAAGGGAAACCCTCCGGGGCCCCAAAGCTTCAGAGCTGTGGTGGGATGGCTTCCCACCCCTGAAACAAAGCCTGTCTGGAGAGGGTTTCTTTCTGCAGCTCTCAACGGCAGGATTCACGCCCTCTGCCGCCAGTATGCCTGGCCTGGCCTGTGCCACAGAGCATGCAACTGCCAGGGTCTGTGAACCCCTGGACAGCGAGGGCACGGCCGGACCCCCCTCCTGCTTGAGAACCGCCACGGAGGGGAGAAGGCGACATTCCCCTCGAGGGCCCTAGCACTGCATTCGCCCTCCTCCCCCGGCTGTGGGACCCCCCCGGTGCTGCTCAGACAGAAGCTGTCGCCTCCATGCTGGCCGCAGAGACACATCCATCACCGGCTGTCAGCTCTGCTCAGCAGTGCCAGCTGACGCTCTTGCAGGAACGTGGCAAGCTTTTTGCTCAAGTAAAGTGGCGTTTCCGCAGGAATGGGCACGCAGGGCTCTGTGCGACACAGGGCCCTGCCAGCAGCTCCAGTGCGGAGCCGCACCTCCTCCTGTCCCCACTCCCTGCACACACAATTTGGCAGCCGCTGTGGCGGGGGCAGAGAAGAAAGATTAACAGGCACCTCTCAGATCTCTCTCCGCAGGCATATCCCCAGAGCAGGGCAGCTGGGAGGGGGTACACTCAGTAGGACCCACATCGGGGAACGGGCAGACAGACAGGCCAGAGGCAGTTAAAAGGAGGAGACTCCTTGCAGATCAACTGCATCGCATAAACCGCCCCCCATGTCTGCTCCTGTCCATGGTAAGCGCTGGCTGAACAGGAGCAACTGGCTCCTGGATGAAACGTGGCTCACGTACGTGGCTCAGCCTCCGCTTGCCGCAGGCAAGGAGCAGCTCCGCAGAGCAGCTGACCCGTGGACAAGCTACCTCCGTCCCCTTTAATCCAGTGTAACTTGCTCTTGTTCAGAGCCCTCTGGTTTAACGCACCGTCCCTGGGGGAGGGCGTTTGCAAAGGTGACATTTTACCTCCCCATCGAGATGCTGGCTCAGGTCTCGGGATCTGAGCCCTCGGCACCAGCTGTGCCCTTCCGCTTCTCACAGCAGGGGACTAATTAGAGCAAGTGCGCAGAGCCTTGTTCTCTCAGCCCAGCAAGGGGCACAGCACGTGGAGCAGGCCGCAGGCAGGGGAAGATCCTGCTCTGTCCCAGCCAGGCCCCTCCACCCCGGCTTTGCCTGCTGTATACTCCAGCCTGCCAGGAAGCTTCTGGGGTTGGCTCTGGGGGGGGATCTCTGTGCAAAAGACAGGCCCCAGGCTGGGGAGATCCCATTCCCAACTTCTTGGTTTCCCACTCAAGAGCCCCAGGCCTGCATGCCACCAGGTCACAGCTGCCACGCACAAAGCCAAAGGAACAGCGCTGCCCCCCAGTCCCCGCTCACCACCCCTGCCACGAAGAACAGCAGCGGCGCCTCCTCGTCTTTGGCTTTGTACTTAGCGATGATCTTCTCGGCGATGGGCTGGATCAGCTGCTTGGCCGCCTCGGACTCACCGTCATCCTCTGAATCTGCAGGGCACGGGTGCCAGGAGACAAAAGGACAGTAAGAGGATGGTCAGGATATGACAGGCTGCGGAGGGACAGAAGGTGACCAGAGCGGAGCAGGGCTTTCTTGTAAGATGAGGAAATCGATTCTCTCTGCAAAGCAGCTCCCCAAATACTCTGACCTCTTCTTTCCCCAAACGCCGCCATGAAAGCCCAGGAACTAACAGGCTGGAGGCAGCTGGCTGCCTGCTGAAAAGCACCTGGATGTTGCGAGGACCAAAGGAGGCGCCATCACCCACGCTCCCTCCACCTCAGAACAGCAGCTCTGCTGCTCCCCTGCCTGGCAGTCAAGGTGGCAGCAGGGAAGTGAAGGCAGCTCTGATACGGGGCAGGTACAGGAGAGACAGGCAGGAACATCAATCAAACACCATCAGCCACTGAAGCTCAGTGCTTGGCTGGGAAGGAAAAGAGCCATCCTTGAGCAGCGTCGAGATCATGGTACGTGGGGGAACTTTTGGGTTCAGGAAATAACTGGAACAGTACTCTCCTTCCACCCAGGCCCGCAGCTGCGGCCTCCCCACAACGCTGCCCTGGGGAGCAGCAGCCCACGGACCCCAGGTGACACCCACCGTGTTCCTGGCTCTGCCTGTGCACATGGGAAGGGACAGGCACGTGGAGCAGGAGGGGTTGCACTGGGATTGTTTTTCCATTGTCTACACTCCAGCTCGGCTCCCTGCACTGGGTGCTCCCCTCCCCATACGCCTCGAGGGGGAGACACGCATCCTACCTAACCATCAGTAACTCGCACTTGGCTAACGCAGTGGGTGCAGCCTCAACCCTGTGCTCTCCAGAAGGCAGATCCCAAACCCTTTCCTGCAGCAAGCAGCTTGGAGGGCTCGCATTGCTTCAGGGCATCTGACTCCAGGACCACAGACCCGCGCGGAGTCCGTGCTACCCACCAGCCTGCAAAGGGGAGAGGTCTGGGGGGAGGTTCCCAGGCTGACTCTGGACAGCCCCACAGTCCCAGTTCCCTGCTGTGATGGCACCGATCAGAGCAATGCGAGGTTGCGGGGTAGGGGGAAAGCTGTCTCATTGCAGCTTCTGGATTTACACAGCCCAGTGGGAGAGAGGGGACGCTGCTCCCACCGTCCTGGGGCATGCTACTGTTCCCTGTAAGAATGGAGCCAGTGAGTCACACCGCACCAAAGCAGCTCCCCAGTGCCACCACTCACCCCCGGTCCCCCGAGAAAGCCCCCTTCGCCACCCCTCCCAACCAGGCTCTGCTCCAAAAGCAAGAGGGCTCCATACCTACGAAGAGGACGAGGCAGGGGCCCTCGTTCAGCTGCACGGCGTTGGAGTCCGTCAGCTCCAGGACGGGTTTGGGGTGCCACGGGAACTCCCGGCATTCAATGTCATTCAGCACCTCCACCCGCCCCTGCCGCGTGATCACGTCGCCTTTAGGGTCCAGGACGATGAGGGTCGGGATGCCTGCGGCAGAGGAAAGGCAGAGGCACGCTCAGTCCCAGCAACAGCCCCAGGCTTGCTCTACTGAGATGAACCTGCCCCACAGGGACCCCTCTGCACAGGCTAACCCAGTCTGTCCAGAGCCTCCCAAAAGGCCCCTCCCATGCTCTTCTGTGACCGTCCATTAACACCAGCCACAGCAGTGGCTGAGCCAGCTTCAGTCCGGGGGGAAGCAGGTGCAGTGGCAGGACGTTTGGGGGACCGGGACACTTGTATGGGTAGGCTGGACACGGATCTCTCTTCATGGTGCAGTTAGCAGTATGGAGCCTCTGACCTCCACAGCCAAATTCACCTTGGCATCAAAGATGAGATAAAAGTGACCTCGTGAACTTTGCCAAAGGGCTCCAATGCCATCCAGTGCAGATGGGCAGCAGGGGAGTTGGTGCCGTCTGACAGGTATCCAGCCACGGACAAGGATGTTCCACCACCAGGGACATTCAGAGCAGATTCCTGGTCCAAAGGCACCCGCGAGGCTGACCCAGCTGCTTCTCCCCTCCCAGCTCCACATTCGTTAAAGCCGACTCCAGTCCACACCCAAGGCGCGTTCTTGCCGCCAGCAGGGCTGACGAGCGGCCGCATGACAACAGGACACTGTCCGGACCCCGGTGCATGTTCCCCACCTCGATCCCTCCTCTCCGCCTCCCAGCACTGCTAAGCCACATGCAATGCAAACTACTGAAGCCTGCTGGGGTCAGACCTGCCTCGCTCGCTAGTTCACAACGCGCGCTGCTGACACAGGAAACAAAACCGCGGTGGAAGGCAAAGGAGCTGGAGGAAGAGAGCAAGCTGCTGGCAAGGCACAGCCTGCAGGTGTACGTGGAGCTTGGGAAGCCGGCGTTCCCTAACCTCCCATGGCCTCGTGTGACCGCTCCAACGCGTCTTTGAGAGCGACTGAAAACCAGGACCGGCCGCAGCCACGAGGTGTCTGTCACGGAGGCATCCCAGCTTGACCAAGCTCCACTGCCTGGAAGGGAGCGATGTCGGCATACGCCAGCTTGGGGCCCGCTGGAGCTCTGCTGGTTCCTGCCCTGGGAGGCTCTGACTCTCCGTACTCCCATCACTCAGGCGGGACAGGTTCCCTTTGCCCCAAGTCTCAAATCCAACCAGCGAGATGCTTTCTGGAGAAGGAAGAGGACTGAAGTATGGCTGAGTGGGCTCAAGCATGCCAGCATCCCCCATGGCGTGAGCTCTGTTTGGTATCGGAGAGCAGCTAATAAACTTCTAAGAAGCTGGAGAAACTGCTACTGCAGGCTGCTCCACTCCCCTCAACAGCTGGGAACGCAGAGCAGACGGGCAGGGGCTGGGGCTGGGGCACAACTGCTGAAGTGGGAGTACGAGGCTTCAGCAGCAGATCCGTTCAGAAGGAGAGGGCAGCTTCCAGCAGCTGGGGCTCAGGGCGCCAGAGTCGGGGAAGGTCTCCACTTGGGAAGCCTGTGGAAGGCAGAGCCCTACAAGTCAGGTATGGAGGAGGCCCGGCTGTCCCAATCAACAGTGTCTGCATCGTGCAGGGCCAAGGGGGAGCCAGTGAGCGCAGGAATGTCAGGGTCTGGGATTTTACTAGGCACCAACAGTCACTGTCAGCGGAGAGACAGAAGCAGCCTTCACCGGGGGAGACATCGAGAAGACAGGGAAGAGGGCAACGTAACACCTGCGACTGCTAGAAGACAGGTCAACTGTCCAACACTGGTGTCAGCTTTGCCACCTGGCTCTCGTCGCTCTCCCTCCCAGGTATTTGCTAGGCAGCACCTTGCTCTCCCCCCGCGGGAGAAGGGGCAGGCGCAGGCAGCTCGCACGCTCCCACCCGCACTGCAGCTGTTCCCAGGCAAGAGTCACCGGGAGGCCACAAGTTACAGACTCAGAGACTTTGTGGGCAGTGGAGAAGGCCTCGTCGCTGCCTGACCGAGGCACTGCAGGCCCATGCATGGGGACAGGAGTTGCTCACCAGTCTCCTCAATCCTGAGCGTTTCCCTATGAAACACATGGACATTTGTCTGCTCCGCGTTTGCCGGCAAGTCCCAGCGAGCGACTGCATTCCCCTCATTCCAGCCCCAGCCGGGCAGCTCTGCATTCCTCCGTAAAAACAGCACATTCGCCTCGTATGACGGCTGCGCCCTGGCTCCTAGCGGCGTGCCAAGAAAATCAGGCTGACCACAGAAGGGCACATTCATCACCCAATGGCATCCGGGATCATGCTGGAGGGACGGGTAGGAAGCTCCGGTGGAGCTGGAAAAGGCATCTCAGGCCTGACCCCGCGAGCAGCACTGTGCCCCCTGCTCTCCCAGCAGTCCAGGGGAGAAACATCCCTCCTCGCCTCACCTCCGCATTCAGCCTCCTCCAGATCTGCACAGCCCACGGTCCAGGCATGATGCTGGAGCCGGAGACCTGGTTATAGCCCTGCCACGTTCCTGCGTGTCCTTTGGGCAAGTCATTTCATCTCATCCCCAACAAGCTCCTGTGTACCAAGCCACAGCTCTCCCCCTAGCCAGGCTGCCCAGGGAAGGCCCTGGGCTGTTTGGGTCTTGTAGATAACCTGGGTGCCAGGTTCAGCACATTCAGACCTCACCAGATTTGCAGGCGAGTTCAGGCTGCAACACAGCAATGAGCTAAGATCTCGGTATCAAGCAGCACCTAGAAAGCCCCCGTGTGAACACCCCAAGAGGGTTGATACCAGGCTGCTCCTGCTCGTATGCTGCCAGGGAGTCAACTGCACACGAGGGGGCTGGATGCTGCCTTCACGATTCCCAGCCCGACACTGGCTCCAGGCACCACTGCCCCACCCCAGGCCAAACACCAGCAAGCTGCACATCTGGATGTGCTGGGGACTGCCCCCTCCCTCCCCTCAGGCAAATCACAAGCTCTTACTGCTTCTCCCCACTGGTACAAAGGGAAAGGGCCTTTTATTGCCCTACTTGCAACACAGCTATTTTCACTTGGGCCTTCCCTACCCCCCGGGACGGCTTGGAGGCACAGTGCGTGAGGCCAGGGCAGGGATGTGGCGAGGAGGCAGCTCCTCACTTTCCGCAGGGCTGTAATTTAACACTGCCCAGCAGAACCTGACAGGCCACAGTCTTGCAGCTCCCGCGGTAAGCACATCCCATCTGCGAGGGAGACAGGCTTGCAGGATCTAGGGCAGCAGCAAGCTGTAAAGCAAGCCCCTTGCACACCTGCTAGCTCTGTATTTTATAGCCCTCTCCGAGTCACTCTCACTCACACACACACAGACCTAAGCACCTAGATGTGTCTTTTAGCTCTCTCCACTCAAATCAGCGTTGAGTGTCATTTCTGACACTTCCCTGGGTCAAAGGCAGAGCTGGCCTGCCATCTTTTGTAGGTAGGAGCACGAGGACAAGCAGCCCCTGGCGGCAAGCATGGGACAGACGCTTAGATGAAAAGGGAGGGGACCTGGACTCAGTCCAACTGTCATGCACCAGGAAAGGGGTCGCAGTCCCTCTGCTTTCCCAGCTGACCAGCATTTCATCAAAACGCAGCGGAAGAGAATGGGATCTGTGCATAAAACTGAATGGGACCCTGGCTGGATTCGCACGCGCTCAGCCCCCTGCTCCTGGCTCTGCTGGAGTAGTGAGCCCAGAGAGGCATATCCCGGAGGGCTACGAAACAGCAGGCAGAAGAGGGAATTGGAGTCATGAAGCCAGAAATCGGAGAACATGTCTCTCCAGACCAGCGGGGCTGGATCTTCTGGCCATTTCATCTGGGTGGGTATGGTGCGCCCCACCGCTTCCACGCGGGCTGTGAATGGATGCATTCAGGTAAACCCAAATAAAGCCCGAGGAGGCTCTGTTTGTATTTACATTTTTTGCTGGCTTTCTTGAATGCCACTGGGAGCCGACAGGAGACTGAAACAACAAGAGACCTGATCATCTTGCAGCTTTTCCACTAGGCAGGAACTGAAAGAGTTGGAGAAGACAAGACCTTGTGTTGTTACAGCCCTGCAAACAGCCCCCCGAGGCCCTCGAAAGGCCTGTGAGAGCACATGCCAACACCGTCCCTCACAATCCCAGTCATTTGCACTTGCTCAGAACAGGCCACGTGCAGATTTGCTCTCCTCGGATGAAGAGGGGCAAGGCGGGACTGCTCGAACAGACCTGGGACTTCTCAGAGCTCTACACAGTTATACTTGAGAAGCTAATGACCACAGAGAGCAGACACGGGGCTCTGACCAGGACACTGGGTAGGATGATAAAACTGCCGCATTTGCAGAATGGGTTTCTGCACACCAGTGTTTGACAAGGAGGATTGTAGTGGCACAGCCCTCCGGAGCCCTCTCATGAGCACCAGTGAGGAGAAGATGGAGGAGAGACAGAGGTAACAATGAGTAGGAAGCAGTGGCTCAACAAGGATGTCAGAGAGAGGGCGACTGCAACCATGGAGAACAGAGAAATCTGGGGAAGAACGAGCCGCACCGCTTACCTCTTACTAACCACCAGGCACGGTCCTGGAGACGTAACGCATGGCTAAAGGGGTCTGCCTCGGGCGCGTACACACAGCTCCCAGGGGGCACAAGAGGTTTATTATGACCCTGTGCTGCTAGGTGGGTGCAACAAGGCTCTAAAATACCTGAGAGTCAGGCCAGGCACCCTGGGATCCTCAAGCACAGGGAGGTGGGGAGTCATATCACTACAGAGCAAGCCAGGGAGCCGTGTCCTTCCCTGGGCCCTCCTTGCTCCAGGCCTTCTGCAAGAGGCTAAGGGGAAGGCTTGGGGCAGGGGGGACCAGAGGGTCTCCCCAAACCAGGACCTGAGCTTCACTTTAGGGCGATCAGGGAAACGTCTACATTTGCCTTTGCTCCACGGCATCCTGTGACCGGCCCTGACAACCCTGGGCCCTCGCTGGCGTTTTCCTCTTCTCTGTACTTGCAAGTTGTCATTACCCTATGTCCCTTCAGACGCCTCTTCCCCACACCCAGTCGCTCCTTTTCATCTCCCCAGTCCTGTAATCACAAGGAGAAAACATGAGTAAGCACAGAAACTTCCTGCCTGCTGGCAGCCACATTTATCGTGCCCCTCGACACGTCCAGCAGGCCACAGCTCGATGCTGCCCTTTGATGTAAATTGCTGTGGTAACCAAACTGCACTGGAAGCCGCTTGGAGCATGTACGGCGAGGGGAGCAAGGCGGGAGCCTGCACGCTCCCCGAGCACCCAAGGCCTGCAAAATCCTGGATCCGATGCACCCGGAAAGATGGAAGCAAAGTCCTGGGCTACATAGCACACGCACTCACGTTTGGCTAATCCATGTCCCTAACAAAAACCAGATGCCACTGCCCTCGAGTCCTGCGAGAACACCAGCCCGAGCTGGCAGCACGTCCAACAGTAAAAAAAAGCAGCATTTGAACCTCCATGAAAAGCAGAATGGATTTGATCGACAATGAGGTATGAAGCATCCCAGCTCCAAAGGGCTCCATGTTTCCAGGAAGAATGAGCCCGTTTACTTGGAGGCTGCAGGAGTGTTAGTTGGAGAAGAGCCGTGCAACAGCTCAGCCTGGGGCACCGCGCTGTGCTTTGCTGTTTTCTTTAAAGGAGAGCAGAGATTTTACTCCCCGAAGGGGTGGGACCACCATACCTTGGATGCCGTACAGCCGATTGAGGCGCGATCTTCGGGCTTCATCAGAGTAGGGGACAGCCAGCCAGGGCATCTCGCTGAAGTACTGCTTGAAAGAGTCCTCTGACCTGGCAAAGGAACACGGCAAAGCAGGGGTCACACAAAAGTTTGCCCCTTTTGGGCACCTGAGCTTTTTCCCATGTAACGCTTCACCTGGGAGAGACACAAGTTGCCCCACACACCTAGCGCTTCCCTGGGAAGCGGACCCCGTCACCAGAGTAAACAGGCCCCTCCACCTGGGAGATCACCTTGCTTCCATCCATGCAATGCCTGTGCCTCTCCCAGAGAGAGGGAAGGGGGGGGACTTGCAGCAGGTTTCACCCACAAGGTGCCTGCTACAGGACTTGGAGTCCAATGGACAGCATCTTTGGGACCCTCCACCGATGCTTGTGTTTCTTCTTCCGCAAAGTAAGCAGACAGAGTGCGAAGCCTGATGGCTCCTGCCCTGCCCCCCAGCCATCCCCATGGTGCACATGGCGCTACCAGTCTGATCTGCCCCTCCTGCCCCCGCAGCGCAGCACAGCGCAGCCAAGCCCAGCACTCTTCACCGCAACCAGCCCCGACTGCAAACAGGCAGGACAGAGATGCACCTTACAGACTAACTGATCAGAGCTGTACAAGCTGATTGCAAGAGACCGATTACCTGTCTGCGCTAACGAAGACTATCTCGAATTTCTGACCCGCCTCCTTGATTTTCCGGTAAGACTCCACCAGGACCCTGGTGAGGCTTCGACAGGGTGGGCACTGGGGGAAGAAGCAACACAGCAATGAGCACAAGGCATGCAGACAAGAGGGACGCAGCTCATCACAGTCAAGGGGCCTCACCTGTTCCTAGGCTTCCCGCCCTGAGCTGGCACAAGGACCATCAAAAGGCACAAGCAATTCACGGGTCCTGCCTTTCCTTGAGACCACCTTGCGAGCTGGGCCTGCTGGCCAGGGGGGACAGAGTCCACATGTCCCTAGTGCAGGCCCCCCAGCCCCTGGGAAGCCAAAGCTGACTCCCCAGAAAACCTATGGAAGTGGACACGAGCAGGAGCACTGCCTGCTCCCCAAGGGAGGGCCTGCGGCATCTTGGGCCCCACGGCTCTGCTAGGAGCGAACCAAGCTCTCGGTCTGAGCCCTTCCCCGTCTACGGGGGACAGATCCCTAGCAATCGAGGCTGAGACCACTCACAAAGCTGAAGCCTGCCCCAAACATGTCCCGCTGCTCTGTACAATGGAGAGGGGTCAGGTACTCACCCAGTGTGCTGAGAAATAGACCCCGACGTGAGAGCCCTCCAGGCTGGCGCTATCCACTGACTGGCCATTGTTTCTGAGCAGAGGCCCCGCCACAACTTCGCTGAAGGGTTTTGGCCCCCAGGGGAATTCCAGACCTAAGGGAATCGGGGACAGCATGGGGAGAAGGCAGAAAGCAGTCAGATGCAGGTCTAGCACTGAAAACGCCCAAGGACTTTCCCAAGAAAAGCATGCGGCCCTCCTCCAGCTTCTAACGGGGGCAACCACATCACAAGTGACTTCTGAATCCATCGGCCTTGAGGTCTTTCCACATAATGTTCCCCTGCCTCCCCACAAGATGCAGGACCATGGCTCTCCAGGAGAGGAGAGGCCAGATGAAAGGCTTGTTCTGAATGGAAAGATGCCCCCACAAGAAGCCCATTAGAGAGAAATCAGGTCTGCCCCAAAATTCAGGGAGTCAAGTGTGCCCAGGGGTGTCCCCAGGGAGCTCTGCCCTCAGGCTGCAGCCATCCTGGGCCGCGTATCCATTCTGCTTCCCGAGTTTACACTGACGGAGAAGCAGTCGGGGCAGCCCACGCCGTTCATGCCTGTCTCAGCCCCTCCACTGGTGAAGCGCTTTGGGGTCTCATTTTATGTAACTCTGCTCTCACTGGTATTTGGGAAGAGAAGTCGTGGTTCTTTCAAACAAAGAAACCCAAAGCTCTCTTTCACAGGAAGCACGCTGGGGATTTCACGCCGGGAATAACATGGCATTTGCATTTGCTAAGTCTTGCCACCCCCTTGTTTTTTTGCTTCAAGGCATCCAGTGGAGCAAGAGCCAAAATACAAGCCGACTCTTGGCCGGTGCTCCACTGCGCTGCACTCCACGTCTTACCTTCTGGGTCATCTCGGATTACCAAGAGGCCATTTCTGCACACAACCTTCCCGGTGGCGGCATCTATAAATATCAGCGAGGGAATGTTGGAGACTCTGTATTTGTTCCACAGTTTTAGCTGTAAAAGAGACAGGAGGGGGGACAAAAAAACCAGGAGGAGTCACTAAGCTGCTCAAACAAGTGCTCTGAGCAGCAGCACATTCAGGCTGAAGACCCAAGCTCAAGGGAGGAGCTACAGCTCGCACCTATAATCCCTGAGGGAGACTGAGGCCCACCAGCTGTGTGCTACCTGCACCGCGGGGTGGATGCACTGGTCTAGAAGCGTACTTGGCTTCCTACCAGCCCTGCCACGGACTTTGTACAAGACCTTGGGCAAACTGCATGGCTCTCAGTGCTTCTCTTTCCCCACATGTGAAGAAGGGATAATATTTATCCACCTCTCACTGTGTTTTGAGACCTCTGGGCGGACAACACAGCCAACGCAATCAACCACCACTGCTCCGAAGGGACCCAGCTGCTTCTCTCCTCCCAGCTCCACATTCATTAAAGCCAACTCCAGTCCACACCCAAGGCGCGTTCTTGCCGCCAGCAGGGCTGACGAGCGGCCGCATGACAACAGGACACTGTCCGGACCCCGGTGCATGTTCCCCACCTCGATCCCTCCTCTCCGCCTCCCAGCACTGCTAAGCCACATGCAATGCAAACTACTGAAGCCTGCTGAGGTCAGACCTGCCTCGCTCGCTAGTTCACAACGCGCGCTGCTGACACAGGAAACAAAACCGCGGTGGAAGGCAAAGGAGCTAGAGGAAGAGAGCAAGCTGCTGGCAAGGCACAGCCTGCAGGTGTACGTGGAGCTTGGGAAGCCGGCGTTCCCTAACCTCCCATGGCCTCGTGTGACCACTCCAACGTGTCTTTGAGAGCGACTGAAAACCAGGACCGGCCGCGGCCAGAGGATCTCTCTCAGACCTTTGCGCACATAAATATTCCACTCAAAGCAGTTCGCTGACGTCTTCCCAAGGCGCTCCATGCTGAACCAGCCCCATGATGAATTATCAACCTCTCAGGTGCAATCAAATCAGAGCACAGAACCAGACTGGACAGGACAGAGGGAAGGAAATGAATCATTAGCTTCCCACAATGTCAAATATTAATGGGCTGCAACCCTCCTCAGCTCTGCGGGCATTTATGACATTCATTTGGGCCAGGGGAGAAGGAGACAAAGCAGCACCATGAGAACTGCAGGAGGGACCATCAGCGGGAACACAACTTGGCACTCCTCGACTTGTTATTCTGCAATACAAAAGTTACGATACAGAGGAGAATTCAGAGCACGTGGTGCTGCTTTTTCCAGCTTGCTTTATGCATCTTCTTGTTTAATATTGGGGACATTTGCATCAGACCGTATTATTTTATATTAGAGCAGCATGCAAATGGCTCAAGTGAGATGGGCCTCACTGTGCCAAGCACTAGACGTGAATAAAACAATCCCAGCCCTGCCTGCATCCTGCGGACAAAATACGAAGGGTGTGGGAAAGGGG